ACAAAATCAGCCCCAAACTTTGCGTTGTACTCACGTAAGGGCATATGGAAGTTTCTGCAGGAAAATATTCGACAACCAGAAGAGCTGGAAGGCTAAAATTTTAAGGGGATATTCCCTGTCCAAGTGCAATTTAAAAATTTCAAATTCAGCTTTCCAGACACCTGGAGTACCCACGTGCGGGTATGTGAAGGTTTTGGCGGAAAAATCGCTAACTCGGTAATCAGAAAAGCTGGAAAGCTGAAATTTTGGGATAATGTTCCCAGTCCAAGTACAGTTTACGTATTTCAGATTCAGCTTGAGGTATGCGTGGTTCTTACGTACGGTCACATAAAAATCTTGGGGAAAAAATTTCTTACTGAACAACTAGGTTACTTTTAAAGAACGACTGTTAAATGGAAATTATGCATTACTTTGCAAAATTTATGGTGATTATGCTAGTGACCGTAGTAGGTAGGTGTAAAGCAAAGCCATTCATGCAGTTAATGATCTGAGTACTTCAAGTCCGGTGCAAAAATGCATGATCGCACGGGCCCGCCCCGTGCGTTCCAGCCTGGGTTTTATTTTGTACTTATGCTGGGAACATTCCTTGAAAATTTCAGCCTCCCAGTTTTTCCGGTTTTCAAACTAGCGATTTTCTTGCCAGGAAGCCTCGTGAGGCTGTACGTGGGAACCACGCACATCTGGAGGCTTAATTTGAAATTTTTGAGTTATATGTGATCGGGGAACATAACCTCAAAATTTCAGCTTTCTATCTTTTCTCGTTTTTAGGTTATCAGTTTTCTCGCCAAAACTTTTACCCCTTCGTGCGCGAGGCCCAGACTTGCATGAGGGTTGGTACCGCGGTTCTGGGATGGCACTTGGCCAGGGAACCCCCTAGCAAAATTTTGGCGTAGCCATGTTGAAATACCCAGACAGATGAACACACACACGCGCACAAACACACACACACACAAACATACACATACAGACAGGGTCGTTGCAATATGCGTTTTTGCAATTTGCA